GCAGGTTATGTCTCTGACAAAGGTTTAATAACCAGAATCCACAGAGAACTCAAATGTATTAGCAAGAAGAGAACAAGTGATGCCATCTCAGGGTGGGCAAGGGACTTGAAGAGAAATTTCTCTGAAGAAGACAGGCGCACAGCCTACAGACATATGAAAAAATGCTCATCATCCTTAATCATCAGAGAAATGCAAATTAAAACTACTTTGAGATATCATCTATTTCCAGTAAGATTAGCCCACACCACAAAGTCCCTAAACCAGAGATGTTGGCGTGGATGTGGAGAAAAGGGAACACTTCTGCACTGCTGGTGGGAATGCAAACTAATACGCTCCTTTTGGAAAGATGTTTGGAGATCACTTAGGGATCTAAAAATAGACCTGCCATTTGATCCTACAATTCCTCTAGTAGGTATATATCCAGAAGACCAAAAATCACATTATAACAAAAATATTTGTACCAGAATGTTTATTTCAGCCCAGTTCATAATTGCTAAGTCATGGAAGAAGCCTAAATGCCCATCAACCCATGAATGGATCAATAAACTGTGGTATATGTACACCATGGAATATTATGCAGCTTTAAAGAAAGATGGAGACTTTACCTCTTACGTGTTTACATGGATGGAGCTAGAACATATTCTTCTTTGCAAAGTATCTCAAGAATGGAAGAAAAAGTATCCAGTGTACTCAGCCCTACTATGAAACCCAGGAAAGCTATAACCCAATTATAGCCTAAGAAGCAGCAGAAAGGGGAGAGGGAGGAGAGGGAAAGGAGGAGAATGGGTGGAGGGAAGGTAACTGTTGGGACCACACCTATGTTGCATCTTACTAGGGTACATGTGAAATTTACTAGGTGTAGAACATAAATGTCTTAACACAATAACTAAGAAAATGCCGTGAAGGCTATGCTAACCAGTTTGATGAAAATATTTCAAATTGTATATAAAATCAGTACATTGTACCCCATGATTGCATTAATGTACACAGCTATGATTTAATAAAGAAAAAAAATGGAAAGTAAGAGTCAGAATTTTCACCTTTCAGATTAGCAAAAAGTAAAAAATAGGGACACGTTATTGGACATGGTGTGAAAAAAAGACACTCTCATTCTCTGTTGCTGGACACTTACCTGGCTGACCTCTTGAAGGACAGTAGCTTTCCATAGCACAAGTACACATATCCTTAAATAAAATTCTAAGTGCACTGTAGGAATTTGTCCCCAAAGATATACTTTCATAGTAAATTCATGGAGTTTTAGTGACAAAGCTTGGAAACACTAACCCTCTATTCATCTAAACTAAGGTTAATTAGGAAAAATCTACACAGTGGAATATTGTGTCGCCATGAAAAAGAATGGGATGGAGACTCAACAGCAACATGGTATCCTGGATTGGATCCTAGGATATGAAAATGATATTAGTGGAAAATCTAGCAAAATCCAAATAAAGCCTGGAGTTCAGGTAATAGTAATATGCCACTGTTGGTCTCTCAATTGTAACAAATATACTTTGATTAGGTACAATGTTAATGACAGAAGCAGTTAGGTTAGGGGTGTATAGGAACTGCACCGCCATCTTTACAATCTTCTACATCTCTAAATAATCATTTCTAAATAAAAATTATATTAAACAGAAAAAGTGGAGAAAACCCTATATGAACTGATATCCAAGACATAGTGGGAGCAAAAAGTAAAGTGGGCCAGGCGCAATGGTCCACGCCTGTAATCCTAGCACTCTGTGAGGCCATGGCAGGTACCTGTGGTCCCAGCTACTTGGGAGGCTGAGGCAAGAGGACTGCTCAAGTCCAAACAGTATGAGGTTGCTATGAGCGCTGATGCCATGGCATTCTCCCCAGTATAAGACCGTCTCCAAGAAAAGAAAAAAGTATAAAAAATATTTGCAGTATTTTCCCATTTCTAGATACATAAAAAAGAACATATCCATTCATAGAAGCATATGTATACAACACCTCTGAAAAGATATTTAGAAAATTAAGAAGTGGCAAACTTACTTTCCACTATATACTCTTTTATAACTCTTGAATTTTGTACCATATGCTTGCATGATCACCTATGAAAATATATAAAAAGAAACTTTAAAATTGGGAATTTTATCCTGTATGAAACAGTGGCCTATCTATTCTGAACAACAGGAAGACAAATCTCACAACTTGGAAGTCAAACAGAGATTTAGTTCTCCAGTTTAATGTCCTCATCTGACAGACAGAAAAGCCAAGAATTAGAAAAGCTAAAAGTCAGTGATGCTCACCAGAATGGCTAAAACAAAAAGGGAAGTGCAAAGTGTTTGTGAGGAGGTGAGCCATTAGAAGTCTCGGACAGACAACTGTCATGATCACTTTAGAAACTGGCACTCACTGACTGAAGCTGAACATACACATACCCTTTATGACCCAGTAATTTCACTCCAAGTATAGATCCAATGGAAATGCAAACTCATGTGTGCACTGAGTTTGTACAGGAATATTCACAACATTTTGTAGCCCCAAACTGGAAACAAGCCAAATGTCCAGTGGTAGAGATGAACGGATAAATCACTGCACATTCACACAATGGAAGTCCATGAAAAACAAGCTACAGCTACACATAACCACTGCACCATGTGGGGGTGAAGCAGCCAAGCACAGAGCTGCACACATTGTACGATTCCACTGATACAAACTTTCAAACCAGAGAAATCCATGTGATTACAGGGCAGGATAGTATTGACTTTTGAAAGAGAAGAGATAACAACAACAGGTGGAGACAGGAAGGAAACTTCTGGGATACTGGTTAACGCTTCATTTCTTGACCTTGAGGCTGCTTATACAAGTGTGTTGAGTTTGTGATCATCTGTTATGCTGTACTCCTGTTTGCACACTTACCTATCCGAATGTTATACTTTAACAACACAAATTTAATTTCCAAAGACATGTTAAAGAAACATCCTACAACATCTAAACTGATTTAACACAAAGATGTTGAAAACAGAAATAATGGTTTAAACAGAATGAAAGCCAATTAAGTGTAATCAAATCTTTCTTGGAAATGCAAATACCCACTTGACTCTTCTTGGAAAGAATACTTTTATTACTCAGTAACAAACTCAATTTATCATCCGTGCCAAGGAATTTGTAAAAAGAAATAAACAAGAAGAATTAACTTACTGTTGTCCTTAAGCACGTGGCAATAGAAGTCTGCAGGACTATATATCATACACACCACAACATCGACTGTCTGGTCAACAGCAAGTTGAACGCACATCCACTCCAAGGGATTTACCTTTCCTTCTACACCCAAGGGAACTGTGAAAATAAATGAATATTTTGCAAAACAAATGGGCAGAGTGGGGGGGCGTATGGCAGGGGGCTGGGTTGCTGAGGAAACTGCTTATGAAGAACTGAATTTCCACTGACATTCTGAGTAACGTTATAGGAACGTAGCCTTAAAGTCAGTCTTAATAATTCATCATCATGACCTAACTGAATTTCAAATTTACTTTTCTGATCCATCTTCAGTTGCCAGTAACCCATAAGACTTGCAATCAGACTTCACTTTTCAAACACATTCTTAAATGTACTTAGATGAAGATTTGATTCAAAGGCAAGAAGGCACCCAACATCAATTCTTTTAGAAAATACAAGAAACCATGTGTTTACAGCACCATCTGAACTCGAGCATAGGCATTACCCGGTAAATGTTTTACTTACCACTGGCTTCTTTCACATCACTGGGTTTATCTGTCAGTCTCCCCTTCTCCCCTAAGGCAAAGCCTGCGTCCATGAGGACTTTGCTAACACTGATGTGAGGCCTCTCAGATTCATCCACCAGCTCCACCAGGGAGCTGTTTTCCAACTTCTCCACCACTTTCACCGTGATCATTTTGTTCTGCACAATTTTTTTCATGAGACACACAGCTTCTGGAGTCCAAATTCCTAATGATGGCTTTACTCCTAACAAGGAAGTTTTAGAAGAATGTTAATACAATTCTTTAAAGTATTTAGAAATTTAGCCCCTAACTTCCACAAAGTTAAATTTAAGAAATCTAAAACAGGCTCGGCGCCTATAGCTCAACCGGCTAAGGCGCCAGCCACGTACACCTAAGGTGGCAGGTTCGAATCCCCAGCCCGGACCCACCAAACAACAATGATGGCTGCAACCAAAAAATAGCCGGGCGTTGTGGCGGGCGCCTGTGGTCCCAGCTACTTGGGAGGCGGAGGCAGGAGACTCGCTTGAGCCCAGGAGTTGGAGGTTGCTGTGAGCTGTAATGCCACGGCACTCTACCCAGGGGGACAGCTTGAGGCTCTGTCTCAAAAAAAAAAAAAAAAAAAAAAAAAAAAAAAAAAGAAATCTAAAACAGTGGAACTAAAAAGTCCCACCTGAGTAGAATTTTCTAAATATGAAAATGAAGGCAAAATTAAGAAAAAGCTGCAAAAAAAAGCTTCTATAAGAAAATTGGTAGGAAATATCTAGGAAAGCAAATCTCCAAAGACAGAAAGTAGGTCAGTGATTGCCTGGGGAGCACAGATTAACCATCTAAAGGTACAAGAGATGTCACTGGTGGTCATGGAAATGTCCTACACCCAGATTATGGTGCTATCTGTACAACTTGATAAATTTACTAATAAATAATGAATTGTGTCACTAAAACCTAAAGTCAATTCCATGGCATGTGAATTATAGCTCAGTAAAGTTAAGAAAATCATAAACAGAAGTATAAAATAATCCAGGAAAAAATTGTGATCCCTTACATTCACATATGAAACATCTCTAGCATTTAAAAATACTGAGAAGGGCCCTTATGAATCAAATGCCCTATGGTTAGGCCTAAGTTAGTTCATAAAATATGTAAGACCTAAGTAATTTACAAAAGAAAAGTCAGCCTCACTGGTAATAAAGCAAACAAATGCTTTTGGTTTTAGCTTATCAAAACTGACCGAGATGAAGTAATACAGAACTATCTCTCTGGTAAGCCAGTGTGTAAAGGAATTCGCTCCCTCACATTTCTCTGGTGGGCATGTAAACTAGGCCGACCTTTCTGGAGGAAACAAACAATTATGTACCAAACAGGAGAAGCAGCTTACCCACTGACACCGCATTCCACCCTCGGGAGAATAACCTAAGGAAGGGTTTTGCAATATAACTTACACTTTACAACATAGCCTAAGGAAATGATCCTGGACGTGTTGCATAAAGTAATTAAAATGTTGAACCCTGCTAATGGCAAAACTTGGAAATACCCTGATACTGGATGGTAGTGAAATTATGATAGATTTGAATTAAAGGTTGACTGAAACCAATTTATGGACATGGAAAGTGAAACCTCTGACAGCAGTGGGACAAATGACATTTATGGCAGTTTCTATGTCATCTAACCATAATGTTACTGGGTTTCTTTTTCTGTTCTGAAACATGGTCTCACTCTGTTGCCTTGGGTAGATTGCAGTGGCATCATAGCTCACAGCAAACTCAAACACTTGGGCTTGAGCAATCCTCTTGCTCCTGAGTGGCTGGGACTATAGGAGTACACCACTACACACGACTAGTGTTTCTATTTTTAGCGGAGACAGGATCGAACTCTTGCTCAGGTTGGTCTCAAACTCCTGAGCTCAAGTACCCTCACCCACCTTGGCCTCCCAGAGGCCACACCACAGCACCCAGCCATAACGTTACTGTTTTGACAAGCAGGTTTTCCTTCCTTTATGTGTCTATTCATGTTTTAATTTTTAAATTTTAATTTTAGGAATATGGAGACTATAAAAACGTCATACCTGCCAGCACACACTTTATAGCTTGCATTGGCAATTCCAATAACTTTGGAATTATAGGACAAAGTCTTGTCAAACTAAGGATTTCAAAGTTTCCATAATCTACGTATCCGACCAATACAGATTCTTCAGAAGCATAAGCCAAAACAGAGGCACGGTACCACTGATCATCCTCTGAAAGAAGGAGAGACTCAATCTCAAATGATTTTCCAATGCAGATATGGGAAAAAAAATTTTCCCCCCAAATTAGAGACAGTCATTTGTAGATTTTAATAGTGACAGCAATCTTACACACAGAACAAGTTGTGTGTCACTGAACATTACCAATTTTGCTTATTAGAGATCAATTCCCATGTGTATGGAAACATCACTATGTACCCCCATGAAGATGGACAATTATTATTTTCCCACTAAAAAATAAAAAAGCCTTCAGGTTCTGAAATGTATTTACTAATTACATATTAATAGATCTATATTAATAGGTTATTACATTAATTACATCATAGGCAGTCGTTGTTAACTGACATGCCTTGGCTTCCCAGGAGGCCACTCATTAGGACAGAGAACATGTCCTGATCATGCGACTCTTCAAGGACCTGGTCAATATGTGAACCACTCACTAATGCAACCAACAGCACTGTTTCAGAACATGTGGCAGCAAAGACTACAGAGATTCCATCAGCTGAGCAGTGAGTGTGCTGACAGCTTCCAGTAGCTCCCCTTCCGTGTGGCCACCGGCCCTTCCTTCCTCAGACAGTGAGAGAACCTGGCTGTCACTGTCTGGGAAGTGACATAGGAAAGACCTCTATGTCTGCAAATGCCACACCCTGACAGCCCTACACTTGCAGATCCTCTTCCTATTCCAAATAAAACTTACAAGGACAGAAACTGAGGAAGTTCCACACCCATAAACAGAGTTACCTATACCAGTCTTCAAAAACCAAAGGGTTACTGAAACAGCCAGCAAAACTTCCTTGGTACCTCCAGCCCTGACACAGGCCTTCTGCTCTGACCTCTGTCACACCACACTCCTTTGATCCAGCTTAACTGGACAAATTGAAACATACAATTGGTCCATTCTAATACTCAAGCTTCAAGTGTACTCATTCAGTGCAAACCTAAGATTTTCCTTTATTTTTATACTCAATTGCAAGTTTAAAAAAATTTCAACCAGGAAAAGACCCAACAAGAAAAGAAAATTACAGACCAATATCACTAATGAATATTGATGCAAAAATATTCAACAAGATCCTAACCAACAGAATCCAGCAACACATCAAGCAAATCATACACCACGACCAAG